CACTCCTTGATGACCCTGTGGTGGTGGCTGATGTTGCTGTTGGGGTGCTTGGTGGTGCTGTTGCTGCTGCAGTTCATACAAAATGCGATGCTGTTGCTGAATAAAGTTAAATTGCTCCAGATCCATAATGGTTGCAGGACCACCACCACCTGCCACCGAGTTTCCAGCCGCAGCTGCTGATAGGTTGAAGAGGGGATAACCAGGAGGAAGCTGGCCTAGCATAGGCAGATTTGGGGGTAACGGTGGTGGGCCAGCAGTTGATGGTTGATGATGTTGCTGTTGAGCTGTACTGGCAATAGAATGTTGAGTAGTGGAAATCTTATTGATGGTAACTGAGATCAAAGGCTGTATAGACTTGTTGATTTGAGTTGGAACAGACTGCATGGAAGGAATAATAGGAGGCTGGGCCATTGTGAGCCGCTGCTGTTGCGAAACATGCGCATGTGTAGTGGGAGAGATTGATCTGGTGACGAAGGGCGTGCCGACTTCAGATTGCGAGCTTGCCATGCTGACTGGCTCAGATAGGATAGAGGATGAAGCCGGGATCTGTTGTGTAAATTCACTAGCTTTTGCCACTGAGAGAGATGGCAATTCATTAACGACCAAATTGGTCATGTTATTAGATAGCTCATCAACGTAACTCTTGAAGTTATAGTGAGTATTTGGAGTGGGCTGATCCGCACCCAAATGCTGGCCTATAAATTGATTGGTCAATTGGCCTGTCACAGCATGATTGTTATACAGTGAAGGCGATACGGCACAGGCCGCTTTGGGAATGGCTACAGGAGGGTTATTAAATTGAGTGCCATGGAAGGATTCATCTTGGAGAGAAACTGTGGCAGGCTCAACAGTTTTTATCACATCTTTGGCCCCAGCAGCTTCTAAGAGTGAAGAAAGAGCAGAAGCAGAAGTGAGTGCAAACGACGGTGAATGAGTATGGGGCGATATGCGAGTGTCAGAAGGGGAAAGAGACCGATTCAAAGAATCAATCGTAGCAGGATGTTGATGATCAATGGGAATAGATCTGCCGACGGGAGATGGTTGCGAAACGCCAAAATCCTTATGAATCACATCAAATCGAGGAACCAGAGCTGGGATCGGCGCAACTTTGTTAAATTTAACAGTCGTTTTATACGACGCTTCACAGCCAGAACGATGAGCGAGAAATACTGGAACATTGGGCGTTACAGAGAAGGCCCGAGGGGGAGGTTTGCTTGAAGCAATTTTAGTAAAAATATCTGTCTGGAAGGTGGAACGCGCTGACTTCTGATTAGATCCGGAATTAGCTCTACTTTTGTTAGCTTCAACGAAATCCTCTCTGGAATACAATAAAATTGTCAAAGATCATATGGA